CTTCGGTGCTGCATCTCGTCTCCTCCTTCCTTCTGCCCCAATTCAACCGACCCAAAATTGAAATCCAGGCAACTTATGTTTAGTTATCCTGGATTTGTATTATGGGGAAAGTTGTGGTTGAGCCCAGGTGCACTGCACCCCTTATCTAGGCACTACCGAAAAAGGCTTTCGCCCCGCTTTATAAATAAAGCATCCACCAAGCACAAAGTTCATAAGGTACCACTCGAAACACGAACACACCAAACGCCACCGCACGAAGGTCCAACACAGACGCACAAAACACAACACACACGCAACAATGGTTCAGCTGTGGGCACAGCACCACAAGCCCAACACAACACCCAAGGACGCACATACAATGCAAGAATTTTCTGCATCATGATCAATGCAAGAATTTTTCTCTATTTTGTTTCCCCCAAATAAAACAATATATGAACTTTAAACTTTGTAGGACAACAATACATTATAACTACGGTGTGGGAAAAACGTTCTTATTTTATCGTGCATTATAAATACTTGAAATAATATTTATTACTTAAAATATATTATTTTGTATATTTATGCTAGACCAAAAAATCTGATAGTATTTTCACACATTGTAGTTCTAAAGTTATGTTGGCGTGTAGTTTGAAGTCCATATGTTGTTTCATTTGAGAGAAAGAAAAAAAAACTTTCATGTAGTAAGTTAGTTGGCTAGCACAAATCTCAAAGCAAAGTTGGAAGGTAAGGATATGGGGTGCAGTGTGCCTGGGTGTAGAAAAAAATACTCTCTTCTTTCATCTAATGATACCATATTCATATTTCAGGATGTTCAGCCGCGACAAGAACAGACTAGATTATCGACTGTTCTTTAATACCCGTGGAGCATTTAGGCCTCTTGGCTGGAGTGGACTGATTATAATTGCATGTTTTTGTGGTATTCTGGAAATCATCTGGAAGAAGTATCTGATCACTAGCATGATGATCTTAATGAGTCTAATACTAGTTGGACTTGTCCGATTATTGTCTGAGGTGTCACCAAGAGTATGGAATCAGATGCGTCATGCCGCATCAGTATGGAGCCCATTAGTTGCAATCGTATTGCTAGCTCCCTCTATATCAGAACACAAATCAATGATTAAATGGGCAGTGTTTTCGGTACTACTTGTGGCAGTCCTCGTAGCAACAATAAGTAACCCACGCTTCACAAGAATCAGTAAACTAGTGGGCAGTGTTCTAGGCAGAAAACAAGAATTTTGGCGCAACGTCATTATAAACGTGTGCATGATTGCTGCTCTAGGTATGCTGGTGTACATGCTTAAGGATTATAAAAGATATACGATGATCACAATCGAAGTATGTGCACTAGTGATAGTGTCATTTGGCAACTTACAGATTCCAGCAGCAGTTGTGCGGGTCATTCTAGCATTAATTGGGCTTATACCACATGATACTAATGAGCCAGCATATGATGAAAGCTTGGTTGGCCAAAAAAACATTAAAGCGTCTCTAGGAATCTTCTATGGGATGGTGCTTGGACAAGGAACACTCTATGCTATGGCTTGCGTGTTTGAATTCTTTTCTTTCATCCCTCGAAGATCCCTCGTCCGCGGTGGTGGATTTAAAGGTCAGTGGGGAATGAAATCTGTCAATATGTATTACGCATATGCGTCAGAGAAATGCATGCAAGGGGGTGTGCTTGCTCCAAAGAAGATCAACCTCAGCACCTTTGCCATGGATTCTGTGAACTCGGATTCATCCAAGAATCAGTTCGCCGGGATACGAATGATGCACAACTTTCTGCAAAGTCAACCAACCAAGGCACAACTCCTTTCAAAACTCGCCACTTCTACCAAAACGATGGCCAGAATAATCAGAATGTTGGATTGGACAAGTCCAAAGGATACAGCTATCAGATTATATGCCGCAAAGGTCACTGCAGAGCTTGCAAAGAACCTCCGTGCAGGCACTATCCCTGGTACAATGCAGCTTGTATCTGCACTTCTTGACGCTGATCGCAGACTGGAAAGAGGAAACCCACTCCTAGACACTGATGATGAACACGAGCGAAGACAAGATCCAGTTCTGAATACAGAAGATAGCAGAGAGGTGGCTGATAACCAATTCCAAACACAAGGTCAACTTCGGGACACTGATATCCTGCTGGAAACAGAAAGCAGATCAACCCAAGAAGTTGGCATGAACAAACAGAACTCGTGCGTGCTCAGATGCTGGCAGCATATTTCAGAATTCTGGTCAATACCCAAGGAACAGCTGCGGACAGACCACGATCTTCTACCGGCACTGGCCATGTCAATTATTGAAAGTCTTGCTGGTGTTGACCAGGACAACTGTGTGGAGATCAGCAAAGCAGCTGACCTCATCCCGAAGATCATAAGATTCACAATCTGCAGAAGTGACACGATGAATACCAAGGCACAACAAGAGATCCTGCTCAAATCATCACTGAAGGTGCTGCAAAGGCTCACAAGCATTGGCGGGGAACCCGGCATCACACTGCGGTACAAGATATCAAAACACCCCTTCCTATTGAGTAACCTCTCAGGTATCCTTGGAGACGACAAGAGCAGCCAGATATCGAGAAAGTTGGTGGCGGGAATCCTCAGAAACATTGCCGTTGATGAGAAAACAAGGCAGGAAATTGGTCGCTTCCAAACAATCATCACCAAGCTGATGCAGGCATTTCTCTACTCAGAAGGAACCATTAGTACCAATGATGATCACCTGTCACGGAAGGTCGCCGGGCAAGCATTGGCAATGCTGACAATACAAAGTGCCCAAAACTGTTTGGTTATATTGAAGGAGCCATGGTTCATGAAGGAACTCAAAATCTTGATCCATGATAAAAGGTACATATATGTGGCGGCAAGCCTGCTGCGTAATCTGTGCCTGCATGCTAGATCCGAGCTCAGAGAGTCAGACCTGAAGGAACTATCTCATACCTTGAGAGAGGTGAGCCCTGCTAATTCGAGCAACAAGTACACTAATAGAGATGCATAATAAAATTTACCATGTTTTGTATGTTCTTGTGCGCAAGGTTTCAGTAAAATTTTGATCTTTATTTTTTGCTCACTCATTTACCACTGGACTATAGATAGAGATACACGTCAATTTTTAACTGATAATGATACATCTCATTACAGGTGTTGGAAAGAATACTGGACGCGGATGGGGCAGAACTAGAGATCCTGATTGGGCTTAGTTCACAGATATGTAAAGTTATTCCTGAAGACTTTACCCGAGAACTAGACGCTGGTCAGATTAAGCAGAGATTTGCCAAGAGGCTTGTCGACACACTAAAAGCAAACATGAAACCTAGTGCTCATAGTCCTGGGATCAGGAGAGTGATACTCGAGCAAGTCATACACATGATGGAGTATAATTCTTGCTATGCAGATTGCTTCAACACATTCGGGATGACAGATGCACTGTCAATGGTAGAACAAACACCATCAAAGGCTGAGAACTACAGGCTTTTCTTGGGCGATGAAGGATTCATGGAGTACAGCATGCCTCTCTCCGATCTTGTGGCAAGAGCAAAAGAACTTATGGGTTTTGAGTTTTGACTGACTACGAGACACTAATAGATGGTAGTGGGACTTCTACTTTGCCTTTCTTGAATGAATGAAAAACTGTTGTGGCGAGAATAAAGGATTATCATATTGTTTAGAGATCTCTATTGTTTATTAGTCAGGCTGCAAGTGGGACACTTATTCATTTGTCTTCAAATGTTTGCGACATAATGTTATGGGTGATTTAAGTGATTAGTTTTCCAACTGGTTCCATAGATTCTCATAAGGTCGGCAGCGATACAAAACAGACGCTTGCGCTCAAGATAAATAGATAATGGTCATATGTTAAAAGCAAATAAACAGGTCATCACAGTTGAAGAGAAGAAGATGTCATCATGTTACAGTAGAGATACCACAGGCGTCTTCCTAGTGATAAGTTTGAGGCATATGGTATGTTGCAAGAAAATCTAGTGCAAAATCTGCGTAAGAACCCAAATACCCAATACCGGTCTAAGTGTACTTCCATTTGTAGCTGCCGCAGGAGGATCAAATGAGTCCTTTATATTTGCATCACACTCCTAGTTGCGTGTCACTGTGATTACTTTCATCGACAGATGTTGGAAAGAGTGGATGAGGCGCAGGGGATAGAACTAGAACTACATGACTTAATCAGATTCCGCCCATGAAGATCTAAGATCATTTCTGAATATTCCGAGGAGGCACTGACTGAAGCAAGATAGTTTACAGTGAGAGCAGTAGGGAAAAAAAAGGGTGTGGATAAGCTGATCGATGCACTGAATGAAGATACGATCGCCAAGTGTCTGTAATCCAGGAAAAATAATGAGGCAGATAACTGACCTTCAGCACATGGTGCGGTAGAATCCTCGCTGTAAACTATCCGGTGATTGCGATGACAAGAGCATGTCGAAGGTAGAAACAGTAGCATGACGCGGGTGGCGGCGCAGCCCACGGAGGCCACGGACTACGCCTCCCGCCTCTGACCCCACACGCCGCTGGCAGGAGCAGTGCAGCGACGGCGAGCACCACGCGAACAAGGCGGTGGCTCCGATGCCGTGCTGGTACGGCCGGCGGCGGCGATCTCCGGTGTGTCATCACGCGGCGGCAGCGGCAGCGAATGGGCTGGCACGGCCGCGGGCTTGGGCTCGCCACACGGCCCGTGGGCTTCTTTTGTTTTCTCAGCACACGTATGTTTCTGTCTGAAAATGTCGGACGTGCCTACTAAAAAAAAGTCGGATGTGCCAGCTAGGATGGCTGCCCGAGCGTCGTCTCCATCGCCGTCGACGCGTCGGGGGTAGTGATTTGACGTGACAGACAGGGAGGAGTCAGTTCCCGGAGGGAGGACCTGACTCGCTTCCTTCGCGGCTAAGGCTGATGCGCAGGCTGTTATAATAATCCCAGCCATCCCCCCCGCCCAGCTGAGCCCAGCTCAATCCCAGTCCGCGGATCCAACCGGAGCGCCACCGTCCGATGACCATGGGGGCGGAGCGCGAGGCCGGCGAGGAGGAGGAGTCGCGGCGCCCCCTTCTCCCACCCTCTCCGTCGCCAGGTTCTCCCTCTGCCACCGAACCCACCGACCCCCCGCACATCTGATCTCGTCCCTTATTACGGTGTGGATTTCGTTTCAGCGGCGGAGCACCAGCAGCAGTACCAGCACCTGGGGCGGAGCAGCTCGTCGGCGCTGCGCGGGGGCGGGGGCGCGGAGGTCAGCGCCGCCGAGGTCAGGTCCGCCGCCTCCTTCTCCTCCTCCAACTACTACCCCTCGGCGCCCAATCCTCACCACGACGCCGTCGTCTACCCTCCGTCGATCCACAACGCCGTCCTCTCCCCGTCCCCGTCGTCTGCTGCCACTCCTCCGCATACGCATGGTAATCCTCGCTGGTGCTTCTTCATTTCTACCAGTTTTGCCCCATTGTACTTGTGGCTAACAAACAACGGGTTCCAACAGCGCAAGGTTTGGCGATTGTTCCTCAAGGGCCGTACGGTGGTGATTACCAGCCTTCTCAGGGCGTCCCGAGGTGAGCGCTTCTTCTCAAAATTGTTTTAATGGCTGTGTTGCTGAGTGATAATATAGCGAGCAGACACAGTCCCGTAGTCATGAATGTTGTCAGCCTGGCTGCTAAGTTAACTTCCACATCTTGTTATGCACTGGGCTTCAGCTAAAATAATGCTGTAGGAATTTACTACATCAGTCATGGTGCTCGCTGTGGTCTGGTACGACCTGGCTAAAATTGGCCGAATATTTAGTATTGACATGATCTAATACAACAGTAACCCTTTTAGTTTAGCTTCCAAACTCAATATTCATTTGGTCAGTGTTTGGAGCTTAATGATGTAACTAGACTGGTCATATGTTCTATCTTGTATTTTGTATGGATGGTCAAGAAGAGGCAATATTTCCCTTCTGTCCTGTTATGTTGTTGCAAATTGTGCTTGTTTTCCTCAAACACGATGGTGGATCGTCTATCACCCCACTGAGTTTTTCATATAAGATCACTCAACTGAATGATTGAATTTTTCCAACAGGGATGTACTGGATGAGGTGGAGATTCGGCATCTGCTAATTGAACATGTTGGACATCGATGTTGTTGGGGAAGCCGGCCTGGTCGCACATGGAAAATTACATCCATCGAGGACTGCAATGTATATGTTGGAACCTTGGAAACCTTTATCGAGGAAAGAGACACCATATTAAAGAAGGAACCCTACAATGGTGGGAAAATAGATGGAAGAGACAAGGGTGCTGTTCTTGGTGTGTGGGAACTAGATTTGAGGTCCGAGTTTCCAATGCTCTTTGTACCAGAGAAAGAAGTAATGGTCAAGATTCCTCATTCAGAAGTTACTGAAAAATGCTTAGGTATGACATTCACTTAACTGATCATGTAGTCACACATAATTGGCTTTCATAGGTTGTAGCCGTAATACAACATTTGTTTTGACTTTTTACTTGGTGAGGATAACATTTTTATGTACCTATTTTAGTAAGTAAAGTTCAGTATATAGACCTTTGCCCTAATATCTTTGTTTTGTTCCATGTAAGAAAATAACTTCTATTCTGTAGTAATTCCTTCAACTATGGTGTATCTTGTGTTTCCTTTATGTTGCCTTTGCATTTTACATTGTTCAGAGATCCTTTTAGGCATTGCAGTCTAAATGTTCGCATCGACCAAACTTTTCAAATTGTTTACCCAGGTCCCAGGTCCTATATCATGATTTTACCTTTATTTTTCCCTGTTATGTGTTATGTCAAGTAGAAGTCAGGGGTGTGGCCTTGAGCCCTACCGTTGGCCAGATGTGCCAAGGTGGCAGTGGAAATCGTCAATTAGCTAGAGATAGATTAGATTTCATTTTCTTGGAGATAAATAGAGACAAGAGTGTTCACTGTTGTTTAGTTCCAAGTTTATGAGTCCCGACCGCCAGCCAGCTATATATATAAAGTTAGGTACTGTGTGCAAACTATGCAAGTAATGTGAATTGTCTAACTTCTCCCTGGAGCTCCTTTTCCCCATGTATGGTTAAGCTCAGCCCAATCAAGCTGAGCGGCAGTCTTGGCTATCTTCCCAGCTGTAGTTACCCTGTTATGATGATCATCATAACATATGAGTTGAAAACGTCTACTTGTATGGCTGTCACAAGTATCTATTTACTATTTTTAGCATGTATTATAAGTGCTAATTCAACTCAAATACAGTTAGGAATCTCAAGCTACCTCACGACGGGAAGTTTCACAATCTGAAAGAAAACCTTTAGAAGAAAGTAACCCATAAATACACTTTTGGTTAGACATGACATAGGAACTGACAACTATCCAACTCATACTTCTAATGGGAACATTCATCTCTTGCACCACTAGTGTGACGTATTACCTTTGCTCATCTATTGTGTTGAAAAGAAATGGATATGATCCATATAGACTTGTTGAGTGATGTACAATATAAGTCTAAAAAATATATAAACTGCTTAATATCATGTAGCCGCCTATAATCTTTGCCCACTAATCCTTATTGGCTGCAATAGCTGTAGAGTCAAGATGTTGTGTTCTCAAATCTAACTAGAAGAAATAAACAGGGGAACTTCCTTCTAATTAAATATTTATAATCTGCTTATTACTGGAACCTTAACTAGTCTTGGCTCATTTTCAAGTTGTTGGGAATTAGGACTTAGCAAACCTTTAGCAAGTGTTCTTTTTTCTCATTAATCTTCTTTCATACTAGTATGTATATTTTAGCAAGGTAATATCATAGTTTGTCCGTCATTGCCTTTCTGATTTTGAGAAGTTCTCAATTTCTCTGATCTGATGTTTCTGACAGATTGCGAGGGTCGTGGAGAGGCACCATGTCCTACTTGCAATGCTGGTCAGCAGCACGGGTTTTACAAGGCAAATCAAATGACTCGGTGCAGTGTATGTCATGGCAGGGGTTTGCTCGCTCACCAAGATGGATCTGATTCAGTGTTAGTTCCACCTTTTTTTTTTGAGTTCTTCAATACGTAATTCACCTCAACTCAGAATACAAGTGTGCCATAAGAAGCTCGTTTATTGTCATAACATACACAAGTACTCCCTCCGTTCCGAATTACTTGTCGTAGGTATGGATGTATCTAGATGTATTTTAGTTTTAGATACATCCATTTCTGCGACGAGTAATTTAGAACGGAGGGAGTACATAACTAGGCTAACACATATACCACTTTTATTTCTGTTTCAGATATTGATCTGCTTGTATGTTTCCCTTTGTCACAGATGTGGGATGTGCAATGGTCAAGGAATGTTGCCCTGCATAGCATGTGCATCCCGGGGCCTAGTGACATGCCAGACATGTAATGGCTGTGGTTCCCTTCTTGCACAAAGCACTGCTCATGTTCGATGGTAATTTAATTCATATTTTTCCAAAGATGGTCCATCGGTTTTTATTGAGATAGTTAACCAGAGAATAGAGAACCAAAAGATTTGACCGTATACACTTAAACAGACGTGTTACTAGTAAATGCCTACATGGAGCCTATCATGTTGCTACAATGCTAACTATCACGGAAAACTGTTATAACAGTTCAGTAGTCTGTTATGGTTTTAAAAGCTTTGCTGAACATTCGAGATTTTAGTCCATGCTTTATTTTTTGTGTTCGGTTCAGTCCTAATATACTGCAAACTGTTGTACATAAAATATGTTTGACAGTTTATATGCTTTCTTTAGTAGTCTACTAGTAATAATATTTTACTCTTCCCTTTGCTGAATGCACTCTTATCTACTCCCTCCGTTCCAAAATAGATGACTCAACTTTGTACTAACTTTATACAAAGTTGAGTCATCTATTTTGGAACGGAGGGAGTAGTAAGTAAAGCTTCAATAGATAAACTCCAGGGAGTCATAATTGCAGAACTAAGTGAGTCTTCATTTTTTAGTTTTTTATTTATGCCACATGTTTTATTTATCTGCAAATCAGTAGGGCAGTATGTATGAGAAAATCATGAGATATACTGCCTTGTGCAATTGTTTCCCTCATTAATCAAGAGCTTATGGTTTGTGATAATATTCACACCATAATTGGCAAGCTATGTTGATACTGCTTTGATAACTGAAGAAGAATTAATCTTTAATGGTTGTTTTAGTGGTTTGAACTTTGAAGGGACTACTTTGCATAGGTGTCTGTGTGGTCCCCTTTTCTTTTGGTCTGACTTGTAATTTCTTTCTATTTCCAGGAAGACGCTTACAGCGAGAAAAGTTAGTGCAACAACAGGAGCTGCTTCGGTCCCTGATGAAGTTTTCCACAGAGCGCAAGGGGTGCAACTATGCAACATACAGGCATATCAATGCACTCCTGCTTTCTTTGCCGATTCATACCCACTCAACCAGTTCTCGTCGGAGATTGTCGCTAGCCGGCTGCCAGTTCCACCATCCGCAAGAGTCATTTCGGAGAGACACATCATCTCAGTCGTGCCCGTGACCCGTGTCACAATGTCTCACCGTAAACGGTCTTTTAGCTTCTACGTCGTCGGCTATGGCAGGGATGTTTTCATACGGGACTATCCTTCGAAGTTTTGCTGGGGCCTTTGCCGTTGCTTCGAATGGTTGGGGAACTAGTTCATGTGTGAGCCGCCTTGTTTTGGTGTCCAATGTTCATAATATCAAAACTTGTAACTGTGGAGAGGCGGTGTGATTTCTGGTGTGTAACAGTAAAGATGTGCAACGTTATCTGTAGTGTTACAGTACAGAAGCTTCTGTATGTACATTTTGGGCTTGTGGATCATGTACAGCGGTACTGTACCGATTGTTTGATGTGTAGGAAATAATTCACATTTTGTTATGAGTAATAATAATGAGATATCCGATATCCTCTCCGATATCCGATATCAACTGTCCATAATTGGTTCCCCTGAACTGAATGTGCTGTTTCTCAAAATAAATAAGTCGTCTTCAATTCCACAATATAAATGTGTCAATTATCTTTAATCTGTTCTTGGTTATTCAAAATGGTCTTCTCATATTTAGCAGCTTAGGATGATATATAATGTGTTGGATCCCTGAGAAAGCTCCTAGCTTGCTTTTTTTTTTTGAATTATTTGAATTGCTTTTCACATGTGTCACGTGGTACCCCCTAGCAAGGAAGCTTCATCAGTTCATCATCTCTATCGTCGTCGTCGAATTGGGGCACCGATTTGATGTGACAGGGAAGAAGAGGAGGCAGTTCGCGGAAGGAGGGAGGATTTGACTTGCTTCCTTGGCGGCTATGACTATCCCAGCCATTTCCTCCCGCTCGTGGCCAATCCCATTGCGTCGGATCCAACCGAATCGGCGGCACCGATGACCATGGAGGCGGAGCGCGGGGCCGGCGAGGAGGAGGAGGAGCCGCGGCGCCCTCTCCTCTCACCTTCGTCGCCAGGTTTCTTCTCCATTCGCCATCGAACCAACTGACCACACATCTGACCCCGCTCTGCGATCTCGTCCCTTATTACGGTGTGAATCTCGTTTCAGCGGCGGAGCACCAGCACGTGGGGCGGAGCAGCTCGTCGGCGCTGCGCGAGGGCGGAGGAGGGTGGGAGGAGGTCGGCGCTGCCGAGGTCAAGTCCGCCGCCTCCTTCTCCTCCCCCAACTACTACCCCCTGGCGCCCAATCCTCACCACGACGCCGTCTACCCACCGTCCATCCACAGCGCCGTCCTCCCCCCATCCCCGTCAACTGCTGCCACTCCTCCGCATACACATGGTAATCCTCGCTGCTACTTCCTCATTTCCACTGTACCATTTTGCCCCATTGTAATTATCACAGCTAAGGGCGTTCATTCTACACCGTAAAGGTTTGGCGATTGGTTCTCAAGGGCCGTACCCGTACGGCGGTGATTACCAGCCTGCTCAGGGCGTCAGGAGGTGAGCCTGCTGCTTCTTGTCAAAATTGTCTAGTGTTGCCGAGTGATAATTAGCGAGCAGACACAGCACCGTAGTCATGAATGTTGAACTTTCACATCTTTTCTGAATGTTGAAATTTTCTGATAGGGGTGTACTGGATGAGGTGGAGGTCCGGCAGATGCTAATCGAACATGTTGGGCACCGATGTTGTTGGGGCAGCCGGCCTGCTCGGACATGGAAGATTACATCCATCAAGGACTGCTGCGACGTATATGTTGGTACCTTGGAAACCTTCATCGAGCAAAGAGACACCATATTTGAAAGGGAACCCTATCATGGTGGGGAAGTAGATGGGAGAGACAAGGGTCCTGTCCTTGGTGTGTGGGAACTAGATTTGAGGTCCGAGTTTCCTCCGCTCTTTGTACCGGAGAAAGAAGTAAGGGTCAAGATTCCTCATTCACAAGTTACTGAGAAGTGCTCAGGTATGGCATTCATTTAACAGAACATCATGTAGTCACACGTAATTTGCTTTCAATTGTTTTAGCCGTAATAGAACATTTGTTTTGCCTTTTTACTTTGTGACTTTAATTTACTTAAGCATAAGTTTAGTATAGAGCTTTGCCCATAATATCTTTCTTTTGTTCTCGTAAGAAAATAACTTCTATTTTGTAGTCTCCAACTATGTTGCATCTTGTGTTTTGCCTTTGCGTTTTACATTGTTCAGAGATCCTTTTAGGCATTGCAACCTAAATATATGCATCGACCAAAATTTTCAAATTGTTTTCCGAGGCCCTATATCATGATTTTACCTTTTCCCCCTCTTATGTGTTATGTTAAGTAGAAGTCAGGGATGTGGCCTTGGGCCCTACAACCGGCCAGATGTGCCTAGGTGGCAGTGGAAATCGTCGATTACCTAGAGATTAGATTTCAGTTTGAGATAAGTAGAGGTAAGAGTGTTCAGTGTTGTCTAGTTCCAACTTTATGAGTACCAACCGACAGGCAGCTATGTATGAAGTTAGGTACCGTGTGCGAATTATCTAACTTCCCCCTGGAGTACCTTTCCCCCATTTATGGTTAACCTCACCCCAATCAAGCCAAGCGGCAGTCTTGGCTATCTTCCCAGCCATAGTTACCCTGTTATGATCTAGGGATCATAGATCATAACATAAGAGTTGAAAATGTCCACTTGTACTATTTTTAGCATGTACGATAAGTGCCAATTCAACTTAAATACAGTTTGGAATCTTAAGCTGCCTCATGATGGGAAGTTCACAATTTAGGAGAAAACCTTTAGAAAAAAGAAACCCATAAATACACTTTTCGCTAGACATGACATAGGAGCTGACAACTATCCTAACTCATACTTTCAATGGGAACATTCATCTGATGGACCAGTAGTGCGATGCCTTGCTCATCTATATGTGTTGAAAAGAAATGGACATGATCCATATAGACTTGTTTTTTTTAAAGCATTCATATAGATTTGTTGAGTGATGTTCGATATATAAGTCAAAAAATATATAAGCTTCTTAATCATATTGCCGCCTATAAGCTTTTCCCACTAATCCTTGTTGACTGCAATAGCTGTGGAGTCAAGATGGTGTCTTCTCAGTTCTAACTAGAAGAAATAAACAGGGTGAACTTCCTTCTAATTAAATGTTTATTTTCTGCTTATTCTGGAACCCTAACTAGTCTTGGCTTACTTTAAAGTTGTTAGGAGTTAGGACATAGGGCACGTTTAGTCAGTGTTCTTTTTTCTCATTAATCTTCTTTTGTAATTTTGGCAAAGTAAATATCGTAGTTTATCCGTCACTGCCTTTCTGATTTTGAAAATATTTCAGTTTCCCTGATCTCATGTTTCTGACAGCTTGCGAGGGTCGTGGAAAGGTACCATGTCCTACTTGCAATCCTGGTCGGCAGTACGGGTTTTACATGGCAAATCAAATGACTCAGTGCAGTGTATGTGATGGCAGGGGTTCACTCGCTCAGCAAGATGAATCTGATTCAGTGTTAGTTCCACTGCTTCTCTTTATTGAGTATTTCAATATGTAATTCACCTCAACTCAGAATACAAGTGTGCCATAAGTGAAGCTCTTTTGTTGTCATAACATAGTAAGTACATAACTAGGGTAACACATATACCACTTCTGTTTCTGTTTCAGATATTGATAGGCTTGTATGTCATCCTTTGTCACAGATGTTGGATGTGCAATGGTCAAGGAGTGTTGCCCTGCAGAGAATGTGGATCCCGTGGCCTAGTAACATGCCGGACATGTAATGGCTGCGGTTCACTTCTTACACAAAGCATTGCTCGCGTTCGATGGTAATTTAATTCATATTTTTCTGAAGATAGTCCATCAGTTTTTATTTAGACAAGTGACCACAGAATAGAGAACCAAAAGATTTAATGTATATACTTAAACAGATGTGTTACTAGTAAGTGCCTTTGTGGAACCTATCATGTTGCTACAATGTTAACTATCACGGAGAACTGTTATAGCAGTTCAGTAGTCTGTTTGGTTTTAAAAGCTTTCATGAACGTTTGAGATATTAATCAATGCTTTATTTTTGCGTTCAGTTCAGTCCTATTCTACTGTAAACTGTTGTACATAAAATATACTCCCTCCATTTCATAATTCTTGTCATTGTTTTAGTTCAAATTTAAACTAAACCATGACAAGAATTATGGAACGGAGGGAGTACTTTCTTGACAGGTTATATGTTTTCTTTAGTAGTAGTTTAGTAATATTTTATTCTTCGCTGAATGCACTCATATCTAGTAAAGCGTCCAAGATAAAAACCTCCAGTGAGTCGTAATTGCAAAACTAACTCGTACCTTTAGTTTTTTTTATTATACCATTTTATTTATTTATCAGCAGACCAGTAGGGCAGTATGTACCATAAAATCATGAGATATACTGAGTAGTCTTGTACAATTGTTTTCCTCAGTAAGCAAGGGTTTATGGTTTGTGATAATATTGACACCATAATTGACAAGCTACTATTGGCACTGCTTTGGTAACTGAAGAAGAAAGGACTACATTGCATAGTTGTTTGAGTGCCCCGTTCTCTCTTGGTCTGACTTGCAATTTCTTTTGTTTCCAGGGAGACGTTTTAAGCGAGAAAAGTTAGTGCAACAGCAGAAACTGGTTCGGTCCCTGACGAAGTTTTCCACAGAGCGCAAGGGATGCAACTATGCAACATACAGGCATACCAATGCACTCCTGCTTTCTTTGCCGATTCATACCCACTCAACCAGTTGTCCTCGGAGGTTGTTGCTAACCGGCTGCCAGTTCCACCATCCACAATAGTCATTTCGGAGAGACACATCATCTCGGTCGTGCCCGTAACCCATGTCACTATGTCGCACCGTAAGCGATCTTTTATCTTCTATGTCGTTGGATATGGCAGGGATGTTTTCGTCCAGAACTACCCTTCGAGGTTTTGCTGGGGCCTCTGCCGTTGCTTCGAATGGTTTGGGAATTAGTTGCATTTTATGCCATGTGTGTGCCACCTTCTTTTGGTGTCCAATGTTCATAGTATCAAAACCTGTGTGTTTACAACTGCAGAGAGGCAGTTCGGTTTCTGGTGTGCAGCCGTAATGATGTGGTACGTTGTCTGTTGTTACAGTACAGATACTGTATGTACATTTTTGGACTTATGGGTCACGTACCAGGGCGGCTGTACCGATTGTTCAGTGTGTAGAAAATGGTTCACATATGGTTATCAACAATAATAATGAGTTGTGCTCTCTTTTAGGGGGAGAGGGGCTCATTACTGAATCAAAGTATCCATCATTTTGTTCCCCTGAATTAGTAATAAACGTGTTGATTCTGAAAATAAATAAATGTTCTTCAATTTCGTATGATAAATGTGTCAATTGTGTTTGCATATGCGCTTGGTTATTCGAAGTGCTCTTCTCATTTTGATCAGTGCGTCTCTTTATGGTACTACTCCCTCCGTTCGGATTTACTCGTCGTGGTTTTAGTTCAAATTTGAACTAAAACCGCGACAAGTAAATCGGAACGGAGGGAGTATATATTAGTATTATTTATTTATTTTCGGGAATCTTGGGTGCTTTGCACGTCTGGTGAGTCTTGAGTATGAAGGACATTTCCAGGACAAATAATAATGCACTCTGAAATGGGAAGAGAAATGCAAATTCGAGTAGGATGGATTCATAACGGGTTGACCTCTGTAGTGGAGTTTTATTTATTTAAAAGCCGAAAACAGTTTGTGACCTGGTTAGACAGTGCAGCAGAAAAACTAGTAGAACAGCTGCATCACGAGCTCCCCCTTCCCCTGTCATATCAGTCAATTGTGCTCATCGCGGCAACACGGCCAAGAATCGTCCGTTGCAAAACACCGCAGCGCAGAGAGAACAGAAGAAAGCAAGCAAAGAAAAATGAGCAGCAGGCTCCCCTGTGATCCGCATCCGAGGACGACGAAGAAGGCGTCGGCATCCGCCGCGGCGGTGCAGCTCCTGCTGCGCCACCACGGCGCCGGCAAGGACGAGAGCATCGAGTTCTTCTCCGCCCTCTCCGGCCAAACCGACGAGAGTAAGTACCTGCTCCTGAGTTATCTCCAGCGTCCTCTTTTGCTGCTTCTGATGCTGATGTGAGGAGCGCTTCTCCAATGCAATGCAGAGGCCGCCGATCGGCGGGGAAAGGCGAAGCTCAGGGCGGAGGTCGGGAAGCATGACTATGACTGGTAAGATAAAACGCTCTCATGATGGTGGATGGCATTCAGATCAGCTGCCCATGGCGAAACATCGTGCTACCAGTACCTATTTCTCTGACATTGTTGCGGCTCATCGTTGTTCGTAGGCTCCTGACTCCTCCGGCGACGCCTCTCTCGTGCTCCCCGGCGCTGAGCCGACTAACAAGGGCCACATCGGCGTCGAACGCCAAGAGCAATTCGCCGGTACGTGTGTCCGTCCGTCCGCGTTTCCAGTTTTTCTTGACGTAGTGAGCAGATTAAAGCTTAGCGGTCATTCATGGTGCAGCTCTCCCGGGCACGCCGGGACAAGGGGAGCAGCTCGTCGCTCAACACGTCGGAGCTCGCATCCTCGGGTCGCCCACCGCACGTCAGGAGGACTCTGTCGTCGGCGTCTTCCTCGTCGTTCAAAGCCACGAGCAGCGCGTCCGGGAAATCGACGACGGCGACGAGCCCCCGCCCGCCAGCCGCTGCTGCCACCTGTCGGCCCCCTCCCCAGGATAAAACACACGGACGACGGCTGTCCTCCGGCTCCGGTGGTGCCAGCCAACCCAAGGGATCGTCGTCGTCGCGGCCACGCGCTCCCACGACCGGCGCCTCCAGCCCCAAGTCAACTACCAGAGCGGCGTCAGAGCAACCGGCGCTGACCAGACGTGGCGCCAACGCCGTGGCACGTTCGAGGTTCGCGGGCCAGCTGAGTCATGATGCAGTGTCAACGGCTCATGCCGTGCCGCCCAGTATGGTCAAGACGCGACCCGTGCCGGCGACCGTGAAGCAGAGGAGCCACGGCAACGGCACGGCCACATCCCTGGCGACCGCTGCCTCCCGGAGCGCGCCGAGAGGGGACTTGCTAGCCAGCAAAAGATTATCAAGCAGCGGTGTCGACGGCCGAAAGATCCACGACGAGAAGGCCGCACCCCGTCGAACCGTGGGGTTCGGCTCATCCGCCGCGAGCACGCGCCGTTGTCTCGCGAAGAGCGACTCTCGGAAGCTCACGGTGAAGGAGGGCGCCCAGCAGCGGAGCGTCCGATCCGCAGCGTCCGGAAGCCACCTAGGGTCCGCGGCCACGGTCTCGGACGCCAGGGGCCGCCGGCGGTCCACGGCTGGGAAAGACAACAAGGTCGCGGTCGCGGCCGCCGCGCCCGACGCGTTCCCGAGCACGCGGTACGACGCCATGCTGCTGCGGGAGGACCCCAAGAACCTCACGTGGCTGAACGGATGCGGGGAGGACGACGATGACTGTGAAGACGGGAGCTGCGGCGCAGGCTTGGTCGACGGCTCGCTGGAGCCGTTCCACGTGTGACGAGCGGCACAGGGGCGGGATACTGAAATTGGCGCTGACTTGTTGGTAATCATGATCCCTCCGTTCCATATTAGTCGTCGCTCAAACGGATGTATCTAGCACTGAAATACGTCTAGATACATCCATTTTAGATACAAATAATATGGAACAGAGGAAGTACCTCCGTTACTTTTTAGTCTCCATATAGCTCTTATCCGAATTTTAAGTATCTCTATTTTGACCAAACTTTTAGAAAAAATACCAGTATTTGCACTACCAAATGAACGTCTTTAGATTCATTATGCAATGGAGTTCCATATTATGTATATTTGATATTGTAAATATTGATATTTTTAATACAAATTTGGTCAAAGTTTGTAAAATTTGACTCGGCACAAATCTTATAATCAAGAGCCAGCAGACGCGATTTTGCATTGTCAACATTGGGTTTGCGTCAGAGTTAAATGGGCATCTTTCAAGGCCATGTATAATGAAAGATGCTTGATAAAATAAATTAAGTTCTTTAAACGACTAGCTTCTACAAAAAAAAGTCGATGCTTAAGAATATTTCTCTAAGCATTTTCTCTAAACATCTTGTACTCCCTCCGTTTTTATTTAGTCCACGTATTAGCTTTAGTCAAAATCAAGCTTTGTAAACTTTGACGAATTTTATAAACAAAAATATGAACATATACAATAACATATCAACATCATTGGATTTATACTGAATGTACTTTCACATCATATAGATTTGTTATGGGCAAATGTTTATATTATTTTCTATAAACTTGGTCAAACTCTATGAAATTTGACTTCAGTCAACTCTAATATGCAGAGTAAATAAAAACGGAGGGAGTATTGTATTAGGTCTAACTATGTTTGGCTTGAACGGCCGTGATCTGCGTCACATCGTCATCACCCAACGGTAAGGGTCGGCGGCAATAACTTGTTCACTATTTGCTTTTCTATGGTCAGACCTTTTTTTTACAGCTGTTTAGATCAAACTAGTCATCTGTATTTGCATCACACTCCTAGTACTACACCCTCAGTTTCAAAATAATTAAAATTTTAGATTGTCTTAAGTTAAATTTGCTTAAGTTTGTTCAAATTTATAGAAAAACGGGTTCTTTGTGTCAAGTTGGCGTGGCTTGTGTAGCTTTCCTTTCCCCTTTCGCAAGGCGGCTAGGAAAACTCTTCTTCCCCTCAACGTCCACTGGCGAGTCGGTGGATTCGCCTCCCCTCCGCCTGTCGCTCCGGCGGCCGGTGGCGGGGAGGGGATTTCTGTTGCCCCGAATCCGGCTAGTAGATAGGTAGTGTTTTAGTCCTCCTAGGGGTGGTTTTTGGACGGATGACGATGCTTCTTCTTCGAGTTGGTCTTTCGGGCTCCCATCCTCCTCAAATTTATCCGTTGGGATGAATTAGATGGAGCTCCGGTATAGATTCTTGCCAGCTCCTCGGGGTGGCGAGGTTAGGGTTTCCGTGCATACGCAAGTATGATATTTCATGTCAATTTCTTCATATCTATTCAAGGATTCAACGACGACGACTACAACTCCGGGGCACTGGTCCTTAGGGGTACGTGCACGAAGACTTTCCGGCTGTCATCGACAAGGTCAGGCCGGCTCCGGTATGGGAGCGGCGATAGCGGCTCGTCGGCGGCTCGTTCTGGCGGCGGCAATGGTCGTTCGATGGTCCATGGGCCTCGATGTAATTTTTATGTTTGAGGTGTTTTGTATTTCTGGCAAATCTTTATAATGGATTTGATACTCTTTGCTAAAAAGAACTTTATAAAAAATGTGTTAAGATATACGATATTAGTTTTTTCTCGTAAAGGGTGGATTTTATTGTCTTAAAATGAAGCATCAAGAGAATACAAACACCATCAACATACACCCGACCTTTGCATAAATAAGATGGACACAACCAACCCCAACACACACATAAAGCCACGTCGGCAACTAGCAAGTCTTACAAGACCAAAGCTGTGTAGGGGAGAGAAAAAGAAAAACAGCCTAGCAATCATATATGCGATCAGCAAACTACAACAATTACCATATCCTCACCAACCATTTTATGACATCACATAGACGACGAAATTCTTCAACAACAATGCCTTCAGGAACAAAACAAGCGCTCAAACACCATGGTCACCAGATCCAATCACCAAGGCTAGAGTCTAGGTTTTCCGAGCAATGCCTTCAACAAGAAAACCATGCAAAAAATGTTGCCATTGCCATGCATAACCAATTGGGTCACACCAAGGCTTTCACCCCGAAGCTCAAGACTCGGTGCACGTAGTACCATAGAAGTTACTCATGTGTTGTTGCCACCACTTTTCCACGATCTATATCAAGCCTTCGTCCATAGTTTGCATCTCACCATTATATCCCACCATCGAATCTGAAGAGATGAATCCTCCCGAAGACCTTTCAATGACCATTACCATCGTGGAGCCCCAGGAGGTCGCTGCAGCACAATCTGTAGCCTCCACCACCTGGGCTGATCGGATATGGATCACCACCAAACCATTCAAATATGAATAAGGGAAACCACGTCGGGTCATCTATGGACGACGTTGAGGTTGCGGTCGCCCGATACAACCATGCCAACCTCACTGCCACCCGACAACCACCTTGGAACGAACACTGAAGGCGAAGGAAGAGAGTGGTCACCCCAACACGACCAGGGAAGCGATCCACCGCACAGCCAACCACCATTATCCGCTCCCGGTGACCCGAGCACCACCGCCACCCCAGCACAAGACATCGCGCTGATACATCCATTTTGCATCATTATTTCCTACTGTAAATTATCTTATTTCAATGATATATTTCACAATATGTGCAATTCTAATGCCTTTCTCTCTCTCAAAATGCAAGTTATACCAAGAGAGGGGGATTGCCGACAGCTGGAATTCTGAACCTAAAAATCAACAGAAGAGAAAGCAATTCTCCGGAGCTCAAAACGAAGCATGGATTTTTGAGGAATTATTTTGGAATATATGAAGAATTATGGAGCAAAGGTATGCGAGAGGGGACACACCAGCTAGCCACATGGACAGGTGGTGTGGCCTACCCCCTGGCCGCGCTATGTGTCCATGTGGGGCCCTGGTGGCTCTCCTTTCAATGCCCTTTGGCCATAAAATCCCATTTGCCCTAGAAAAAATAACGAAAAAGTTTTGGGACTTTTCGCCGCCGTTTGTGAGGCAGAACAAAGAAGGAGCACTTTTGCTCTCACGGAGCAATTCTGTCTGGGAAACTTTCCTCTGGGTGTGGAAAATCGAAGCCTACATCATCGCCAACATTCTTTTCATCATGGGGATCATCAACACCATCTCATCTTCAAACCCTATTTCACCCTTTGTGTTCAATCTTTGTATCAAACCTCAAATTGGTACTCGGGGTGTTAGTAGTGTCGACTACATCTTGTAGTTGATGCTTGTTGGTTCAATTGGTGGAAGATAATTATGTTCAGATTGTTAATCACTTATTTATACCCACTGATCATGATCAATATGATGAGTGGTGGTGCAGGTTGGTGGCGTGTCGACGGGCGATGGGCTGCATGGTGGTGGTGCGGGCCGGTGGTGGCGTCGGTGATGGTACTTTCGGCAGTGCCTTGGCGCCGCGGGTCATGGTTGACTGGGTCGCGGGCGGCCCTCTCGCCATGGTTCTCCGGTGGAGGGGGGGTGTGACAGCAGAGGTGGTGGGCTGCTCCCACCTAGTTGGGCCCTCGCTGTTGGGTGGCGACGCTCGGCATGGGAGGATTTCCCTTGTGGCGACTCTAGGCGGCGGTGACAGCTCGACAACCCTCCCTCTCTGGCATCTGGCGGCGGCC